AGGCAAAATTAGCATACAACTTCCAAAAAATCTACGGGGACATTGACAATTGAGTATTAATAATTCGATACTTTAACACTTTTAAAAACGTTATAATCCATAATGGGATAAATACCGATTTCATTATTAGGATTGCCAATCCAACAGTATGAGAAAACATTGCACAGCTCATAACACTGTAAGGAGACGACAGTGCCATTACGAGACATGTAACAGCTATAAATAAATAAATAAATAAATAAATAAATAAATTCGAAATTATGAAACGAAACAATATAAAAATATATGGAACATTTTGATTGATCCATCTATTTTTTACTACCCCCCCCCCCAAGAGGATATTTCTTTAATCCGAATAGTGTAACACTAACCACGAGCCCTTTTCCTCACAAGCCTGCTCCATGACCTTCACCTGCGGCCCGTCAGTGTGAGGCCTCACGCGATCCGCGTGCATGCTATCTTTTTTTTTTTTTTTCTTCTTCCTTTTCGCGGATCCGGCGCGGAAGGAGAGGGGGGGGAGGGGCTGGAGGAAACCGGCCCCTGACCTTGCGAGAGGCGCCCGCGGAGCAGCCACCCGCCCGCGCTTGAATATCAAAGAGCCAGGGGAGGATGCACGGCGGTCCCGCCGACCCGCGCTGGCTCGCGCGGGAAATTGCGTCAAATCGCTGCTCTCGGGGCAGGCGCGGCGCGTGGGAGCGTCACAGAGAGTGGCTTGGCAAGCGAATTATTCTCGGACGTGCCGAAACCGCTCACGCTCTACCCTTACAATGGCTATCTTTATTACACGAACAAGGGCTACGGAAGCGAATCAATTTGCGCACACAACATGAATAAAACATTAGATAATTAGTATTTTTTAACAAAGGCTGGAACTAGTCTTTAACACTGGATTAGTAAAATTGCTTTCCGCACAAAATAAAGTAAATGTAAAATTAAGGGAAAATGGAAGTAATATCCAAGCAGAAAAATCAAGTGGAACTGCGGGTAGATTTACATGATAATGTAGTCTGTAACATGAATTTTATTATTTCTTGAGAAGCAGAAGAAAAATTCGACTATAAAGGCAATAATTGCGTTGGTTGCGCGATCAACTTGTTCTAGAGTGCACGTTAAATGACGTAAAAACTCTCGGCAATGCTAAATGTTTTGTAGTTTGAGAGATATATTCAAACAATGGAATTCCGAGTACAGAATTATAACAGAGATCGTTCTTTTCACCTCCACTCCTCTCAAATAAAAGAATACTTGGAAGTTTCAATACGGAATTGTAATCTCAAGTTACTTTTCATCGGCAGATGTCGTGTGTTCGCATATTCCCTGAAAATTCCGGAGAGATTTGTAAGAAAGTCATACGCATGCATCAGCACATTCCTTATATGCACTGATGTCAATCACTTTGCCAGGAATAATGGGGACAGAAGGGAAGAGTATAAATACGGAATGACATGGACATACAGCACGACATGGAAGAATAATTCCTTCCAACTTATTGTGCAATATGCCAACCCTTTGGAATAGCTATGTCCCACCTAACATATTGACTTCAATTACTTTGATGTCAATGTTTCATCCCTTCACCTACAGCAGTGATTCTTATAGTAGCTATTTATCTAAAGATTACAGCAGAGTACGTGCTACTTGTAGCAGAAGTCGGACAGAACCTTACCTACCCATCAACTCTTTTTTTCGATTTTGTCATTCGGGTCGATACGCAGACTACTAACCTTAGGGACGTCGTTAGGATTGGGGCACCTTTTCAAACAGGTACGCGCTCTCTGGTGAAAGGCCATCGGAGGGCGGCGCGAGACCACAAAGGCAGCACACCACCGCAAGGGCAGGGGGCCTGGGCGGGGCACGGGGCGGGGGCGTAGGCGCCGCCTCGCGCCCGCCTGCTTTGGGTATTTTCTGCGGGTGAGCGCACCGCGCCTCCCAGCGCCGCGTTGGGCCGGGTCTGGCCGCGGCGCGCGGCGGCGGCGGCGTCTCGCTTGCGAAAGAGCCGCGGGCAAGGACGCGCGAAGCGAGCGGGCGACCCGCGGATGAGCGAGTGTGCCACTGGCGCACACCGCACCAGCTGCCGGGAGGACTGGTCGGCACGCACAAAAAATATGTCCCACGAAAGAGAAGTCTATAGAATACGAGGGTAGAATGAGGTAAAGAGGGGTTATCCACTCAACGTAGGGATAGTTTAATCTATAATGTAAATAAAAGGCAATGTGCGTATGTTTGATTCACATAGACGCAAAAACTACTCGACCAATTTCGCTGAAATTTTCACACTTTGTAATTATTATTAATGAGAGTGTTTACAGAGTGGTTTGAATTTGATCGGATATGTAGGGGCGTTGTTGATTTATTGGTTTATGTCGACTCAAGCACCCCTGAATACAACCAGCGCCCAGCAAGCATTAAGCATGTATTCACTACTTACAAGTATTATGCCTCCGCGATCCCGAATATCGGTCGGAATCATCACTTGAATCTCGGACGAGTAAATCAAATTTCTCCAATTTAGTATTTTCTCCTCATACCGAACGCTTGCCCAAATTTGAAGGAGAACGATTTATCAACAGGATACTTGACAACCATGTCCAAACCAAGAATAGTAAAAACCCGTACAAGCGACAAAGTCTTTCATCTATTAGAATTTTTGCACGGCGTAGTGTAAACCGTGATTAACAACCACGTGACCAGTAGTGTGGGATGTGTAATACACTGCAACAGCGAAGCATTGCCGTGTCCATTAAACTAATAATACTTCCGAATAGTTCAAATTAAAAGGCAAGACAACAGCTGGGCTAGTGAGTGGCCGAATGGTAAAAGTCCATTATAGTAGTCGCAGGCGAGTGGACAGAGAAATAGAGTAAATGTATGAGGAAGGAACAGGGAATACAAGGAACAGCAAGTCAATACAATCGTGTGGAGATTGGGAGGGCGTACGGACGGACAGGAGAACGGATGGGAGAAACGGTCTGGAACAGATGTGCGATTTGCAAGCGGCGCGCCGGCCGTCGCAACACCATCGAGCACAGTCGCGAGATGGCGGCGGCGGCGGGGAACGTTCCAGAGGAACGGGGTCACTCGCAGTCGCGCCCGCGCCCGCCCCGGCCCTCGGCCACGCAGCAGCTGGCGCCACGCTGCACAGGCAGCTGCCACCCGCGCTGCCATTCTCACGGTGCACGCGCCGCCTCCTGCAGCTGCAGGGCGCAGGGCATCTCATGGACGGGGCCTCTAGCATGGGGCGAGTTATGCGATCATCATAGCACGTCTTCAATTTCAACTCGATTTCTTATAATTCGGTGCAAACTTTTCTTTTCATTAGATAAATGATACGATTTTCAATTATATCGGCAAAACCTTTTGTCTATCAGAATTTAATCAGTATTTCAATTTGTGGCAAATTAGGTCTTGCTGTCAGTATGATACGCTTTTCATTAACACAGTCGTCTTGTCCACTTTTTGTCTAACGGTCGCCGTGTCCATTCACTTTTACTTAATCTGTAGTACGTTCGCTATCTTCATTGCACATCTGAACCACGTAGAGCAAATTGCTATCAACGTCCCGTAATTACACGGACCGCTCGACGGTGAATGCCTTCCCGTGCTCCTGTGAGATTCTCAAGATCGTTCTCGATCGTCATCTCTTATATAATGTTAGTCATTATACTGACCACAAATCACCAATACATTTACATACTTTTGATGTACTGTGATACACACCCAGTAGTCAAGGCCCTTTAAAAGGCTTTAGTCGACTGAATCACAATAATAGAATGTAATTGAAAACCCATCTTAAGTTAAATAAGGGTTCGCTTGGAAGTTATGAATTTCCCAATATATCAGCGGCACTGTGTTGATACCACAAAATTGGCAACACTGGGGAAACCACATTTGTTTTCACGTTTTTGCCGTTTCTTCCTATGTTATCTTCAGCGGAGCGTAAACGCCCTTGTGGTGTCATGACGTCTGCCTGAAATGACAAGCTAGCAAAGCACATGTTCCCGCAGTAGGTCAGTCGGCTACAACGCTTCGTGGAACTTCCAACAGGCAACATTTTCAGGGTACACTAATAAGTTGACCATTTTTATATCTGAGCTCTCCGGGAGATTTTGATGAACGGTGGGATAAGGGAGAGATGTGAAAAAAAAGTTACTAATTCACCTGAGTCAATTTTCAAAAGCCTTTACCTGAAGTTTATATACCGTAAATCGTCAATGCAAGAAACTGCTGTTTCAAGATGTCGCAAAATACTTAATTAGAAAATACTTCAAAAATTAAAATACCTAATACTTAATTTAAGTAAATTGATAAAATATTGAACTGAACTAGTTAAATATCTTTTAATTTGCTCGGGCGTTGCAAGAAGCCACCAGTCCGATTCTTGGGCTTAAACAAGCAGAAGTATTTTTACACGAGTATAGCTAGCTAAATCAACGAACGATAAACAGGAATGTGCGGAGGGGAGAAATATGACGAGTGCGCGAAATTAATCCGTCAAACTTCCAGATACTGAAATCGAAGAAAGCATTCCCAAACTCCGGCAAAACTTGTCTATTAATCATCCAGAGATAATACCATTCCCCTAAGAATTCGGCTTATCACACAGGTTCCTTGGGTCTTGCAACGAAACAAACATCAAGATAAAAAAGAAGAAAAGAAAATAAAGAGAGAAAGAGAAGAAAGAGAGAGAGAGAAAACAAACGAGGAGAGAGAAAGAAAGCAGAGAAGAAAAGAAAGAAGAGAGAGAAAGAAAGAGAGAGAGAAGAAAAGAGAGAGAAAGAAGAGAGAAAAGAAAGAGAGAGAAAAGAAAGAGAGAGAAAGAAGAGAGAAAGAGAGAGAGAGAAAAGAAAGAAGAGAGAGAGAAAAAAGAGAGAGAGAGAACACAGTTGGAAACCATTCGGTATGCCACGTATCCCGCGAGAGGAATACGAGTAGACCGCGCGCAAATACCAGCGGGCGGTCACCCACACGGCTGGCACGGCTGCCGCGCCCGCACCCACGCGATGACTTCACACCGCACGGATAGCGTAATAGGCAGCGGCGGCGGCGGCGGCCGTGTCCGCCAACTGGAACGCACCAAGTGGAACGCTCTATCCGCCGAAACGCTTGCTAAGAGCCCTCGGCGCGGAGCGACGCCTCGCGAATCAAAGAGCACTTTCTTCATCGGCGTTCGACGTCTGCGCTGGCGCGCGCAGGAAAGCCACAACCACGGCGGCGATAAAGGCAGGAAGTGGACGGTTCGCATCCCGCCAACTCGCGTTTCAGCTTTAAGTAAGTGATACCGATATATTATTGGGATGTTTCCGATCCTGGGAGGTATGTTTTGAAATGCTGATGAAGACAGAGAAAACGGTCGGATTGGAAACACGACATAAATGTTGGCAGACGAGTCCAACGAAAGTTTGGTCTCGAGTGTCAATTTGAAACGGTATAGGATGCGCCTGAATCCTTAGTACTATCTTATGTCAGGAAATTTGAACAGCGACACGAAAAATACACAATGGTAATATAATATAGTCATTTCTTTCACATCTTTATAGTACTAATAGTACTTAGCATTATATTTTGTCCTAAGTAAAATGATTGATATAATAGTTTTTCTTGGCCGTTTGAATGTGAATCAAATGATTCATGCAAAGACAATGACATAATATTCATCTTGACGTCGCTCGCATGTAATTGCGTTCCCCTTCTCTCAGGCTCTGAACGGGCAAGATTGATCGACTGTAGAAGGAGTTTTCATTGGCACGCCAAGAGTTCAAACTAATCCTGAAAAAACTATTACATACTATTGTTACTAATGTTGTAAGAAATATGCAGCGCTCAACATCATTTGCTACCAGTTTCAAAATTATTACAATTGGGGGCTGGTATACGTTTTATTAATTATGCACTAAGCGGTTGATTCTTACAATGATCAACATCACTGAAATGCGTACGCTATCTTTCAGACTTTACAAGTTGTACATGATTTTACCAAACTTCCTATTATAATATACAACACATTTAAAATATAAGATTTCCATTTTCAATTGGAAAAATTGAAGAGAGCAAATGATAATTTCCAAAATTCGAAAATGAATCAATTTTATATTTTTTTAACTTTATTCATTTATTCAACGCCAAAAATTAAAATAATTATGCCGTATGAAGAGAAAAACACTCTTATAGCATGTTGCGTAATTAAATACAAAGAAACTCAGAGTCGACAAATCACATGCTATTTAAGAAGTTTAAAAAAATCAAAAGAAATATCGTAACTCTTCAAAAATGCCTTTTTTACAATACAACAAAATCCTCTGAACATGACTTAACACAATTAAAAAACCGTAACAATAAATATGGAAATGAAAACTCTCGAAATACGAATTATTCTGAGTAATATCATAATCACAAATCCAGAATCCCTCAAATTACACACAATCCGTCTCCACACATATTTGCGAAGGCTACGTACAAAGATCGTGTTGCGCTAACACATTCTTCCCGAGACACAAGAAATAGAGCACAACTGGGATAATGAGTAGTTTCATTACTTGGAAAAAGAACGCCCGACATACCGAGAGAAACAGAACATCTGGAACGTCCACATACGAATCCAGACATTATTTCCTTAGCGCTCTGAAATAAACTTTACTTACCAATCGCGTCATCTCATCGGGGCAATCATACGTAATTGAGAGTTATTGTTTCCTTGTACGGAATAGTGACAATGAAGGGGATTGATGTGCACACGATCATAGTTTTATATTTTACGGTGTTCGGAGTCCAAATATAGTATGAAACACAGATTTTGGAACAACAATGATATGTAAGGCTGCGGCGAACTCTAGTTCTAGACACACCCTTGAACAAGATCATACAAAAAAAGGCAATTTTTAGCAATAATGCGCATATCACTTTACCTGTGAAAATCACATGTATAACGAGAAGGGTTTCACTCTTCAACAGTCCTCACTGAACTGACCAAGATATGTAGCATTGACTAGCAAATAGAAAAATTCTGGCGTATTTCCAAAGACTACAATTATTGTGCAGCTCTTGATTAATGTAACAGCATCAGTTGCCCTTCTGGTCATTGGGCACTCGAGCCAACTGATATTTGATGACTGATGTCTGCAAATCGCCCTGGTGTTGACATTAACACCATTTTTAAGAATAAAACGTCTTTGAAAACCAAAATTCTATCATATTTCATATTGCTGCTAGGACACGACCAACCAATTCAGGTGGTGCAGCAACAAAAGTTCTTCAAAGCAAGAAAATTATTAGATTCACCTCACTGGTACAAAATATACGCAGCGAATCGCAATCAAAAGAAGAAATTCAACTAGATGTTCATGAACTATCACGTAGCCCAATGCAGCTCCACCCCGATCTCTTCAACGAGAGCCGCGGTGATTTAGGAGGCGGTGAGGAAATGGCTTCCGCAGTCCTTAATAAACTGGGTGCCCATCAAGCGCCGGAGGTCGTTAGACTTCTCGGGAGAGGAGAGATAGATAGCGCGACAAAAAAACTGGGTGGTTGAGGACGCGTCGCCGACGTGCCCTCTGTCTCGTGGCGCAGACCGCGAGCGTGGCAGGGCGCTACGTGGGTGCTCAGAGAAGAATCCCTAGATATACATAGAAAGTAGTGAAAGATGAACGACCACTGCCGTTTAATATCGGTTCAGCTTTTAGCTCCGCCAAGAAGCATGTACGTGTTGAGAAGAAATTACAACTGTGGGCGTTACAGAGGGTTTCCATTAATATTGGTTTTGAGATGACGTAGTTCCCAATTCGTCCACAAAGGGTGCAAATAAATGCACTACTTTGAATCTAGCGACTCGCTCAGAGGCATCTACAGAAGACCGCGTTCACCCAACACCCCTTCGATATCTGTAAGGGGAGATCATTCACACCCCGGAAACTGGGCACCGCGCTCCTACTCCAGGAGGGCCGGGCTTAATGTGCATAACTCCTGTGCAAACTTTGAATATCACGTTCCATTCATATTGCGAAGATTCACAGATGAATTGTCTAAAACCATTCGTCTATTATGTACATAATATATAAAACTGCCGGCCTGTGCGGGGCGGGGGCGGCTTACGGCAGGTACGTCTTACATCAGGGCTTTGGGTTCGAATCCGGCTTAAGGTATGGGCATAGTGAGTTGTGACATGCCGGGTCTCCTCGTCCAACCACGTACCACTTTTCTCTTCCTTGCCTTTCCAGACATCGGTACTCAGCCCCAGAACTGGTTACCCGCAGTCGACGTGGGCCAACGAAGTACCTCGGCAATAAAATATTACCCTACAAGTGGCCGAGGTGGACTGCCTCTGGCAAGCGAGGAGGGGCAGGGGCAAATTCCAGCATCTTTAAGAAAAAATCTGGGAAGAATGACATGACGGATACCCCCAGGAACCCGCCAGGGGAGGTTACGGAAACTGGAATGGTTGGGTCGACGAGAAGACTGCAAGATCAAAAAGTGACCCAACTAAAAAAATACATAATAAAGGGCTAATCACTGAAATACAACAAATTAACACAGGCTTATCTCCATAAATTTGCTTTATGCATTCATTCCATTTGGCATCTACAGCAAAATTACGCCAGTATTACATTTAACTTTTCTAGCGAAGGACTATACGTATCATGCGTAATTCTCAATAGAGATTAATTTGTGTCAAGATTATCATTACAATAATTTCTTATAAACATTTTACAATAAATAAGGATTTTTTTACAAATTTAGTTTGTAACAAAACGCTAAGAGGTTTTTTCTTTACATTCAACTTCATTATGCGTACAACTCTTTACTATCATGTTAATTCTTTATCTACAAGGGGAGAATACGAATGTAATTGTTTCAAGTAGTACTAATAATATACTTTTCACTCAAAATCGAAATAAAGTTATTAATACATTTATGTTTATTTACCATTAGGAGAAGCATTTATTACATCATTGTACGGCATTTCTAAACAAACTGGACAAAAACAAGCACACAGACGAAGTGCATAAATAGTGAATTGTCGCATTGGTAGCTTCCGTGTAAACACAGGTTCAACCACAAAAGGGAGGGATTCTGTGCTCCGAAAATAACTCTGGATTCGGCTTCCAGGGCATCTGTTCCCGGGCGTCCCGATAGCGGCTGCGTCCGGCATCGTTAAGATCAGTTCAAGTCTTAACTTCACCGCAACAAAACAACGGGAGCCCTCTCCTCTCGAGAGGTCACGCGAGGTCACGCCGCAGCCCCAGCGCCACACGCGGCACAGGGCCAGAGGGACTGAGTCACGCGCCGCGCCGGGCGCGCCTCGTTTACGAGTCACTGAAAGATCGCGGGGGTGCAAGGGACGGAGGGCGGAGGGCAACGAGAGAGGGGCAGGGCACCCCAATTGGTGATGGAAGTACTTAACGCTAGGGCCAGATGAAAATCTTATGTGACCCCAAACATGAAAAAACTGCGGACCCTCTATTGATATTAAACTACTGAATATACTTATCGAATATAAGTTAACAACAACAACAACATTTGCAATAAATATACTTAGAATTAGAATATTTTTACACTAATATAAAATGGTGTTTAAACAATTAAGGCCTTACTCAGTAGGGGGCCTGAGCAGTTGCTTAATCTCTTTATGCATTACTCCACCCTTGCTCAAACACCAAAGACGAAAAACAATTGTAATTTCGGGGAAGCACAAATCAAATTCGCAATTCGTATTGACGAATTTCATTACACCTGATTTAAAGCAACAAACTAAACTCTCACATGAGATATTTGTAAATATTAGAAGTCCTCTAATTCCTAGAGACAACAAAATTTTATTTTTTTATATATTTTGCTTTGTTGTTGTTTTGTTAATTTATGTTGTTCATTTTTTATTTCTTGTTTTGCAGTCTGGTGCCATGTGGCAATGGCAATGGCAGTGGCAGTGGCGACGGAGGTGAGGAGACCCTGGCGACCGCACAAATGAGCGAAGCCAAGCTAATTAAAAGTCCCGTCGCTTAAAAATACCAGCCGATCGAGAACCTGCGTCGCCGTCAACCTACACCCCACAAGAAACGAGTATCATCCTGAACATTCCGGATTTCGGCAGATTAGTGAGTTAACAATCATCTGCTTGGGAAACACTTCACTCCAAATTATTACGCGTGAATTGACATTGCTTCAGATTTATTTTCTACTCCACCGACCTTCGCCGAACGTTTCCACAATAAGAACGGGCAGTTTCGAATAGATATGCTATAACATATTGTTGTGCTTATGAATTTGATTGGAATAATGAAAATACAAACTGAGATAACTGCAGTGTGACAGTACAAACATGGAAGGACCAGGAGAGCCACCTGCATTGGACGAGGTCACCAATTTCCCTCCTTCGAAGGAGGTTCTCTCTGCCTCCTGCTTATGAGACATACGCTACATATGGTCAACTGGTTGGGACCCGTCGGTTACGTTGGGAGGTGACGTGGTCGGTAAGATGCTGCCACATAACTGGATAAGGCTCGTAGAAAGAACCTTTCTTTATCCATTAGAATATACATCATTACTTTCCCATACATTAAACGATGCAATCCATGCACGTAAACAATTATCGTGATTCCGTTACAATACACTTCAACATGGAACTAAATCTGCAATTTCTTTCCCTTATCTTGTCTCACACAGTATAACGAGAACTGAATCATTTCAGACCCCTTAACTTGTCTCACACAGTGTTAGTGAACTGACTTTCAGTTCACGTAGCACTGTGTGAGGCAAAGTAAAGGAAAGAAATTGCAGATTTATTTCTATATTGAAGTGTATTGTAACGACGAGAAACATCGTTATATTCCTGACATGCCTAAAATTGCGTGTAAAAATGAATAGCGTACTAGAGCGACTGACGTATGAAAGCTAAAAGAAAGTTTTTATTCTTCAATAGAACAAAATAAATACTACCCTAACTAATCAATAGTATTGCATCTCGTCACTTTCCAGAGTATACTAAGAAATAATTTAAAACACATTGGAGTCCCTTTGAGTAGAAGCTTTAAAGAGGAGTGTATGACAATATTGCGAAGGAACGGTTAAGTAATGATTAATGTAAGAGCACTGGACTTCATGATTTGCCAATCGCATCTGGCTCAAAGTAGAGGAGCTGCCAAAAAGAAGAGAGATGAGTGACGCATCTACTGCAACGCAATATATATTCCGAAATCATTTCTAGGTCCAGATGCGGAAAAGTGAATTTGTTATCATCATTTAAATATCTGTCGCGATTCTGTGTTTATATTTAAGAAATTTGATGAATCAATTAATGTTCAAGCAATGCCAGCATCAATTGTAGTATTGCGAAAATAGAAAGTAACATCCCGCATCACGCATTCTTAAATTACTGAATGTCCGTATTTTCTACCAACTAAACGACCTGCAACAGCAAAAGCCACTTACTTATTTGGAGACCCTTTCAGAAATGCTAATTAAAAAATTCTTTTTCATCATTTCCATCTGTGCTACAGCCCCGTTTGGATCTTGGCGAACATTCGCGTACTCGCAGTAGTGCTGAAGTCTTTCAACTTAGTGGATGGGTCACACGGGAATGGAGATTCAACCCAATACTACGCTTTAAGGACGGGCGTGGGAACAACTGGGAAGGAGTGATTAGACGTGGCCGATAACCCGTTATTTAATGTACTGCGCTGCCTTCTGATTAGAATCGTTATTGAACATTATATTTATTATTATCATTATAAACGTCATCATCCTCATTATCATTATTATCATTATTTCATTATTCCAATTGCACAAAGAAATTAGTATCACTGATAGCTCCACCTAGATTTATCTTTTTCATATGAGAAGAGTGACTACATTTCATAACACGGAGACTTTTCTTTTTTTTTCCATTGTGGGTGCTATAATCGTATCCCAATACTAGAACTTTAATTACGCAATGCCTCAGAATAAATGTTGCAAACTTCAAAGGCATATAAGGGAAGGTTGTCGAAGTTAATATTTTTCCAATGACAATACCGTAGTCGGAAAGTTCAAATAACTATGTAACAAATGTAACATTTGCCCCTGACAGTTATGCAACTTACTATGCACTGTTGTTTGGCAGGTCACGTTCTGACGCAAATATATTTGTGTCCTAGCTGAATACCAGTGCACGATGAGTTTGCAAACCAATCCGTGATCGGGATGTCACACATGTCATAAGTGTGACTTCCCTGTGTATTTCTCAGTACGTTGATCCACAAAACGTGGTCACCATCAACCCTCATTTATGCCCGAGAAGTTTGCAACATTTATTCGGAGACACCTGTAAATGATTGAATTGCGTGGTTTTATATGGTATAAGACAGAATCTCGCCATCCGTAACACGGTTTCCTTGCAACAATAAATATCTTTTACGAATTTATTTCCCGTCGCTTAACCCTCCTCCCGAGTAATTTCCGTTGGTTGTCTAATTAGAAGAGCACGCCAAAGCAGCGCCTCGTGCGGGGGCGAGCGACAGGGACGTGGACGAGGCCCCGCGCCCGCGAGACCGCCTCCGCATTTGGGCAAGCCGCGCAACGAGTCGCTCGGCCCGGCGAGGTGTGAATCGGCCACATCCACGAGGTACACGCGTTCGCCTCCAAACCACTCGCCCCGAAAACCATTCCCTGGCAGGACACTGCGAATACGCTTCTCATCAATTCTGACACCACGTGCCGCGTTTCGTTACATTCGGTTTCTGGGCACAAGCGATTCTTCAAAAAAGATTACTCAAAAAAATCATATCAATTCAAATACAAAAAGCATAAGTCAAAAGCCAAAAGACTGAAGGATTGCGTTTAGAAAAGAATATTACAGAGAGAATCTCACCCTTTTGCATAACGAGAAACATTTTGAGAAATTTTTAACATTGATGGGGCATTTGTTTTTATGTTAATTTTCAAATGACAAGAAAAGGAGCTGAATTTCATATTTTTGCTCATTTCCAACACATGCACTTATTCTTGGCGCAAGTTCTTACACCATGCGTATACTTGTAATCCGGTATATTATTTTTTAATTATTTCTCACAAATTACTACATAGATCATTTTTAATGTGTTTTAAAATTTTTAAAAAAATATTGCACCACATTAACTATCACGCCTTTGTATTTTTTTTTTCGTTACTCTAGAAATGAATTTCTCATTACTCCTAAAAATGTCTTTTGATGAGGTAATTAGTTTCCGATGACTCAATATAATTAAATGAGGCAAGATACTAGAGACCATAAAAATGTTACTTTAGAAAAATATATATTACAATCCGTGCGTGTATTAAAACGTCATCTCCACGTCGCAGAATGTGGAGTTGCGAAAGTGTATTATCTGCATGACCTAATTATAGAAGCAAACTACTGTAGTACATAGGTCATTTCCTCGATCGTTAATACAAGATGAAGTAATATGTCCACGAGAGAAAGAAACAGTTTTCCTAAACAACCCGATTTCTTTCAGCTGAGTAAACATACTACCTATTGCCACATGTAGCGAAAAGCTATTTATAGCTTACACCGATATCTCATATATGGCAGACTTCAATCCTTAAAACATTCTATTGAAACAAGTCGCGAACGCCGTTACAAGTAAAAAATAAATTTTTGAATAGTCTTATTTATCAGATGCAACGCATGAAGATCCGTAGAATAACTTTTAGGATTAATTTTCCGTGTCTTACCTCTGACGTTAGTACAATATATCTTAAATATGTTCGGATGTTTAAAAGTATAAAACATTTTTACACTTAAAGAAAACATTACGATATGCAGAGATGCATTGATACACTTAAAGAAAACATTACGAGATTTCAACCCCTGAAATATTGTGCAGCCTCTCTAGCAAAAGAGAAGCTGCCGAGAGTTCCACTGAAAGTTCCATGATGCACGAAGAAAGTTCAAGCGTGTGAAAAGGTGAAAACAAAGGCGGCTGCTTTTAAGCGACCACCTTGGCCTAATTTATCTTATCGCTCGTAAAACAATCTCATGGTCACGGTACAAACTAGCAGCAGCGCGTATTGCGAGCCTCCTTCCGCACCACTTTCAGAGTGGCACCGCATTAGCACACAAAGCTACGTCAACAGCATAATAAGCACTCCACGTCCCCCAATAAATTTGGAAAGTGGTCGTTTTAAAGGGAAACTAAAAGCATGCACGTTTTATTCAAAGAAATACATCAATAAGAAAAGGTAAATAGAGTAGCTATGTTAAATCTCAAGACGAAATGACAAGCCCTCATCAAAGAGTTATAAAGTTATTTTAGACCTGGCGCAGTCGCGAACAAAAGAAACTGCTGCTTTGTGGGTTAAGTCTGCCAGACAAATTCGTAGAAGACAGCGCAATAAAATTAGCTGTGTATTGTGTGTGTGTTGGTCGTATTCCTTTGCTAGGTTCGTGAACAATAAAAAAAAACACATAATTCATTAGACTCGACTGAATTATTGTGTCACTAGTCACAAAATTAGATTTTTTAATGCAAAATTACATTTTGTGTACTGTTTATTACGAGTAGCAATTGGGATCTACGAGTTTTGATTATGGTGCCGACCCCTAAGCCTTATAGCCATATCTGCAGTAGACGATTGATGTTGATGAACTGCAAATTATATCGCAATGATGAGAGTGACGGTGGAATATTGAATGGCAGGTAAAGGAAGCGGGAGAACCTCCCGCGCACCCGCAAATTCCACATGGATAGACCAGGGTTCCGGTACTCAGATGAGAATGGCGAGAGGTAGCAGTTGGGATAAGTCAATAATGGTGTGAATATTGCGGAATTCAACAATGTATGATGGGATATTACGGTTTCAACAATGTTAAGATAAAACATACCAGTGTTCACTAAGATATCTCGTGTGTTCTGGCTTCAAGATTTTTAAACGTACACCCGCCGGATATTTTCGAACTACCCTTAAAAATGTATCTTTCCCCCGCCGAAAACAATTGTCTTGGCGATCGGATCATTTTAAACCTTGCTGGCTTGAGCTTGAATATCCAAGATCGAACATGACGCGCCGCTATTCATATGCCGGCTGGTGCGTTTCATCCCATGCCCCCGCGGTCAACTCGGCTTCTGGTGGACATGCGATACGGCGAACACGTTTCACGCAGGGATTGACTTCATTTCTTTGCCAGTGCTATTTAGGGGTTCAATTATGCTGCGCGATTTACGCAGTGCCCAACAAGTGTGTTTTTGATGGAGACAACGGTAAAATTACTGAACACAAATTGCCAAATAGATAAGTACTCGCTGTTTTATTTTGCGACTTGCGGAGGGTAAAATAAAGTGTAGTGAAGGTGAAAATCTAGTATTTCGCGGGTGAAAATTTTAATATATTAGGGAAAAAGCGAGAATTCTGTCAAGATTCCTACGTAATTGCATAATGAAACTTCCCTTTTCCGACGTGAAAAATATTGCAAATGAATAGATGCCGCCGTGAAAATAATTTGGACAATATTTTTCATATTGCACAGGCAAATGCCCTCCTAAGTATTAGAATTGAAGATATGAACTTTTCATACTGAATCAGATCGAAGATTTACGGATGCCCTATTATTTTACCGATGTATGAAATGTTTAAAGTAATTAGTACCTAAATTGTTACAATGCATCCAAAATAATATTAAAAATGTAAGGTTTCGGAATCTAATTCATCTCAATTTCCTTGTCTCTACTTCCACCGACAACATTGTCAGCTTCTCTCAGAAAAGATTCTCAATCGCTAATAAATTAAGAAATGTGATCACCTTCAAGCGATGCCTGTGGCAGGATCACATTCGCAAAGAATATATGCCTAAACATGCAAACAGTATGCTCCCTATCTTAACACCACTTCGTTGCTTTGCATGCACGACATCCACCGAGCGAAGTGGCTCAGGGCTGACGGGAGGCCACGGTTCAATACCCG